TAGGGAACCCCCCCCCCCCCCGGGCCGTGCGAATTTTATTATCAATAGATGGCTGATCTGGCAAGGTTTCTGGGGGAGGCAAGGGCGAGGGCGCTACGGGCGGCGCAGGGGCAGACGGCAGTGCCAGGGGCATCCCCGCCCGCCTCCGCGGGCACCAAGGGCAACGGGGCTCCCGCTAGTGCAGTTGGTGTCAACGGAGGAGCAGCCTCTGCCCCCGTGGCGGCCTCAACGGAGAGAGTCCAGGCGTTATCTGGCGGGAGTGCGGGGGTGGGGGCGGGGGCGAACGGCGGACCGGCGGCGGCGGCAGCGGCGGGGGCGGCTAGAGCCAAGACTGCCGAGGTATGTGGGACGGACGTGAGGCGTGTTTCTGGGGCGGCGGCGGGGGGGGGGCGTACTCTTATGTTTTGCATGCCTTAGCGGTTAGACCATTGACCACGCGTCCTCGAGAGGACGGAGCATTGTTCCCACAGGACCGATCACCGATGTACGATCGTTCCTTCCTACTGTGCCAAAAGGTGTCTAAGGGGGGCGGGGGCTTGTAAATTTGGCGCAAAGGACGCACTGCTGAGCAGGTGGCTCATCCATCGTTCCGAGCGTGCGTTTGTTTGGCCATGCAGGCTGTACGCATGCTCCCTTTTTTCATGGGACGAAATTACAACCGTTTCCCGTCAACTAACTGCCTGCTGCTGTTCGTGCGCGTCGTGCAATCGTGCTTTGTCCTTCCTCACAACGGCTGCTGCGGCGGCGACTCGACGAAACAGATGGCGATGCTAGAGGCCCAGATCCGCGCCTCTATCTCGAACGTGAACAGCATGTTCGCCGCCGGTCCTCCCAAGGTGCCCCCTGCTGTCGCGGCCGGGGTCGCAGCGGCCAACGGCGGTACCGCCTCCGTGTTGCCCAAGAAGGCCAAGGACCACACCCTTAGGTACGCTTTTTTGGCCACGGGCGCGCTGCCCACAGCCGCACTGGTGTGCTGTAGTCAACCCTGGGTAGCTGTTGGCCTAGTCGTTGTCGGTGGCGTCGTCAATGTTGTTGGCTTGGCGTTAAAACCCGACCGGACCCTCTGTGCGGTGCTCCCCGTTCCGTACCGTTCCACCAATTGTGCAGGCGTTTGCCTTCGTTTTACCGCCAACCGAGGTTGCTGTTGCCACGGTTCTTACCGTCTTGCTGCTGTTGTCGTGTGCTTGGAAGCGAGTGCATGCTTCCCTCGAACACCACTCTAGGTGCCCACCCGTTAGTCGTAAGCCTGGCCTGTGCTGTCCTCTGTGTTTTCTACTGTCTTACCACCGGTAGCCTGTTTTTTAACCCCTCTAGTGTTCCCCCGCGGGCGGTTGTGCCACACCTAAATCACAACAATCATGAGCACAGATGTCCTTTGTCCCTGCCTCCGTTCTCATCTGTGTCTCCCCCCCCCCCCCCCCCCCCCTTTCCTCCCTTTTAAACCCGCCCCCTTTTTCCCCCCCATTTTAAAAAAAATTTCCCCCCCACCCCCTTTTTAACTGGCACCCCAAAACCCCCACGGTGATTCCAAACCCCAAGGAACTCAAAAGGGGCCGGGGGTCACCCACAAGGGCCACCCCCCAGGGGGCAAGGCCCCCCACCCCCCCCCCCCCCCAAAAAAGGGGAGCCCGGGGGGTTTTTTTGGGGGGTTTCCGGGCCCGGAAGGGGAAACCCCAGGGGTCCCCTCCCCTTGGGTGGGGGAAATTTGCCGGTTTTTCCCGGTTTGGGAAAAACTTGGGGGAGGGGTTGAACAAAGGGGGTTTTTTTTTTTGGAATCGCTCCCCTCCCGCTTTTTCCCCTTTAAAAAAAAAAAATTGTTAAAAACTTTTTTAAACATTGCAAAAAAAAAAATCCGTACGGTTTTTTTTTCCCCGGACCTGGTAAAACCCCCGGCTTTTTTTTTTTTTTTG